ACTCGGTTCATGAAAAATGTCAATTTTTAGATGCATGCCCTGGAGGTATATTTTTTGGGGGTGACGTTTAAAAAAAAAATTCTCTCCTACCGAATTGGACCGAGATAGAAAGGTGAAACTTGATACATAATACCTATCGGGAACCTGAATTCAGAAATATTCCGACTTTGGAGGAATATACCCTGGGGGGCACAAATTTTAGGGAGAGATGTTTTCAATTTTTTTTTGCTGCAGTATAACGAATAAACATGGAAAGCTGAAACTTGATATAGACTTGACTGAGACTCTGAGTTAAGGAAAAATGCCAAGTTTCAGATGCATGCCTTGGGGGCATACCTTTGGGGGGGTAACATTTTCAAAAACTTTTTTTCCCTACCGCATTGGGGAGAAATAGAAAACTGAAACTTGACACATAACTGATAACTGATAACTGAGGAGATGCTGAGCTCAGAAAAAATAAAAGTTATGTGGTGCATGTCCTAAGGGCACAACTATTGGCTGCGTCGGCTTTTCGAAGATTTTTTTTTTGCGCCAGCAAAAGGAGGAGACGGGTAAGACTGAACCTTGGTAAGCACGTAGTTCTCCCAGTGCTGATTTCAGTAAAATGTTAATTTTTAGGTAAAACGCCCGAGGGCACATTTTTTGCAAAAGGCGCATTTTCCGGAATCATTTCTGATCAAATGAAAGAGAGATCAAAAGAAAGTTGAAACTTGCAGCAGAAATACCTGCTGGATTGCTGACTGTATATCCTACTTTTCAAATATGATCCCTCAGGCAAGTTATGGAGAGATTTGAAGTTAGGCACGCAAGAAATAATCGAAGTTATTATTTCGAGGAAAATATCGGGTTGTTCTCTCTCGGCAGACATTTCGACAGGCACAACTTTTTTATACGTTTTTGCCACTTTGAAAATAAGCTTAACAATTAATCATTAACTTGGACAATGGAGCGCCGAAGGCGCGACCATAGCGAGTACTTTATAAGGCTCAATGATTTTTCAGTGTCCCCCCTTGTTTCACAGGAAATGTATGTATCACAAACTTACCCTGCCTTGTGGAGACTTGATCACTTCTAACATGGTTCAAATGTGCAACGCACATCGGGATGTACAGTAACTAGACCGTAGCCAGGGCACAACTGACTAGACATGAATCAAGACGGCCAAAACGAAGAAAATAACACCAGTAATTTTTTTGGCTTTATAAGCCTTCGGTGACCTAAACCTTTCGATCTCTAGACACTTCTACGAATGAATCCTTCGATGTATGGTCGCGTTCGCTCAACTGTCTTTCGACAAAATGTCCATTCGTCGACATGAGTTTCAATGATTCGATACCAACCCCAGGAGGCTTCCCCCCTTCTCCCCCCCCCCCGCCTTCCCCATCTTTGATGCAAATCTCATTCTGTCATATAACTATGGATAAATAAAATGATTATGGCTGTCATGCGTAATTCCTAAACTGGAGTCCTGGTCACGTTCGCGATCAGAATAGTCTCATCCAAGCTAGCACAACATGATGAAAGGATCATGTCAACATTTAAATCAGGTCCGAATGAATTAGATCCCATTGCAGTCATCTGCATAGAAGAAAGTATTTTGAGTTTTCCTCGAATATTGCTCTAAAATTGATGTCGAGTTAGAAAAATTCGTTCAAAATGAGACCGGTTGAGAAACCCGTCTGAACCACACCCGAGTTTGATGCCATTGGTAATTTGTTTCGTCCCCTTCGAAAAGTCGGCGTGACAAGGTTTCGGGCTCCAACACAACAGAACTTTCCTATCCAATCCACCGATTCTAGCGACCGATTCACGAAATCTGGAGTCCTCTTGCATTTAGGGGACGTCCACGACCGAAATCGTTTCGGCCCTTCGTCCCGAGTCGAATGTCTTTCGTTCTCGTAGGTGACGGTCGGGAATTGCACAGGCGAGGTTCGTCAATCAGAAAAAAAAGAAACAGGCAGACGACAGAGGTAGAGGTCGCAATCATTCGGAAGTGTCTCCTGACGGCGGAAAATTCCAAGACGGTCGCCGTCGTGACCGCAGCGCGAAGCACGAGGAACGCAAGGAACCTATCAAGTAACACGTTTACCACGTTTATACAGTGTGTCCACAAAGCATGTTACCCACTCGCTTTTTTTCCTACAATGCATTAAGAAACAACTGAAACATGTAGAACAATGATGATAATTGCATTTAGAAGTCCGCAGGATCGGGATGAGTGCCATAATTTTCAAGGCAGAGAATCATCGGTCGCCATTTTGGCCAAGAGAATGACGGCGCTCGCACGTTGCAGATCGTTGCATTCAAGTTTTCTTTTGTTGCTGTAACGTTTCAGGACTGTTTAACTTAAGTTGCTGCAATGTTGATTGAGAAAACGTAGCCTCATTGGCACGTAATCTGGACCTGTATTGGCATTACTATTTCCCTGAAAAGCATAGGCCTCATTGGCCCTGAGCTGGATCGAAAATCATGCCAATATTTAATTATTTCATTGATCATTTCGTAGCACATACTTCAAATCCTTACCCAGTCATTGAGGAGACGTTCCCATTAACAGGACGATGTCTGTACTGGGTGTAACCCCTGCCCATGCACATTACAGTACCTGTATCCTAGATAGGAGACATAGTACATTGGGGGGGTTATCTTCCTTCGTGTGTTAAATATAGCACATTTCAGGGAATGGGTTACCCATCTTGTTTGAATTCTGCTCATCTTCTCCTCATCCTGTTCGGATGAAGAAATGAAAGATTGAGTTCACAGTCTCTATATCATCATCTTTTAATCTCCAATAGAATGAATTAGAGAGGGTTGTTTTTTTTTAAAGATAGGAGCTAAAGGTATGGTGGACCCTGCTGTCACATGGTGGACCAACACATAGCTCTCGCCCACCATGGTGAGATCCTCCCGACATGAGAGCTGGCAGAGAGCAAGACCCTCATGAAGCTACTGACTTAGCCCTGAGAAGGTGACTCATGGCTATGGGAGAGAAGTCAGCCTAAGAGAGAGCTGTTTCCCCCCCCCCCCCAGGATCTCCCCCTTGAGGTTTGTTATCTTTAGGAGTTTAATTATAGAGTAAGGAACTATGCGGTCTTATTGAGAAAGCAACCTGAATTTATTTAGGTTTGTATCAGTGTTTTGGGGCGCTTAGGAGTTTAGGTCCACCTGAGCCGAAGAGGAATGAGATCTACAGGGTCCTAGCCGTTTTACTTTATGAATCAGTGAGGTGTGATTTTATTTAAGCCGATATTATATTTATAATACATCCTATCGGAAGGGTTAAGGACAGATGCTCTAAAGATCAAAAGGCGTTTGCTGATCCAGCTGGCCGGAAGGGCCTTATCAGGTGTCCGCTTGCGAAAGTAAGAGCTGAGAGCTAAGAGTTAGTGGGGGTGCGCGAAGGGAAGTTTGAGGGTCTAGTCGGGCCACTCGTTAGGCTCACATCGGCGGACTTAGCCGCCCTCATCTATAATTCTCTTTATGGTGGGGAGTGTAAACATGCGAAGCAAATTGGAAAATCTTGGGCAAGGGGGGAGGTGGCCGCTGGGAATTAGAGAGGGTCTTGGAAAGGGTTTTCTTAAGGAATATGAGCTTGTTTTTAGCCAGGGCTCCATGAATCTGTTTCGAATATGGGAATAACAAATGATGAAGTGTCGGTGTTCATTGATTCCTATGAGAGTAGGTGAGACATGTGGCAAGGTGCTAAACACTCCTGTGAGGGACGATTCCAGGGAAATGGAGGATACCTTTGTGTACGGTTCGAAAAAGCGAGACCTACGCCTCCGTCTAGTGGCCTGGACGATAACTTTATAATTCCTTAAAACTTAACAGTGCATATTGTATCAGAATGTTATTGCAACCTTGTCATTGTCAACAGTGTCAACGTTCTTTCAATATTGATAGCAAATGTTGCTATAGCATTCGTAGAAGTCTCTCATCAACTTTCTAAGCGCTCAAAAGTGAAAAACGTCGAAGCAATGCTTTATCAGTGTTGTCCATCAACTTGTAACATAGAGCAACATTGGCAACATTTCGGAAACGTTCCATCAACATACTGTGTTATAAAAAGTCTATATCCTGAATCTTTGTGCAAGCGGTAGACTGTCAAAGAGTCAAAGGGTAATGAGGTTCATAAGATGAGAGTCACTGCCGATGGTGACAAATGAGAGCAATAATGTTGACAAAGGGGAATTTTCACGGAAAGAAACTTGGAAAAGAAACTATTCTGAACTCAACTTCTTCCCGTTTTACGACCTTCCCACCCCCTCCTAATCTCTAGCTAATCTCTTTCATGGCGATCCTCCAGGGCAACAGGCAATGCCGCTGCACAAGGATTCAGGATACAGACTATACTTGGGGTGTTGCGGGAGAAACTGAAATCATCTATTCGAAGCAGACGTCGTGGATTGCTAATGAGAGGAGTACTGCTTCAACATGGCAATGCTCGCCCACTCACAGCTTTGGAGACAATTGAAATCACTGAAAACCTTAGGTTTGAGATCATTCCACATCCTCCTTATAGTAGAACTACCAGATTTTTTGGTCACCCTACATTATGGCCTTAACCTTGCATCAAGTGATCTATTCGGATCTCATAAGGAAGCCCTTGGTGGACGGAGATTCAGGTCTTACGATGGGGTTCAAAAGGCCAGGGAAATTGTGGCTTCAGGGGCAGTCAAAAACGTTTCTTTCTTCAAACATCAGGTTTTTGGTTGGACGATGGCAGAATCGCATCGAGAAAGAAGGGAACTATGAGGAAAAATTATGCACTCGTCACGGCCATCGGATTATTATTAAAGGTAATTTCCTTCAATGTCCTGCTTTCATCTGACTCACCCTTGTACTTGGCGCCACTGTGAGCGAGTTGAGAGTCAGAAATGCACATTCCCAGAATCCCAAACGAGGACGACGGAGGAGCATGGTTGGAAAGGAGAAGGTGCGCGCTTGCGCGCTCAGAAGGCGAGGCATCACCAGGCTCCGAAATCGATGGAAAGAAAAGGATGTGGAGTGAAGGGGACGGAGGGAGGAAGAAGGCTCAAGTGGACGGATCATCTCCAGGCTGGAACAACACTTCCATGAAGACATATGCAGGTATGTCTCTTCTTTAGTCTTGACACCGTAGGACTCGGTTCACTCCACAACATCAGGGTTGGAATTTGCTCTTATCTGGACTCTGTGGTTCCTTGCGATGTCAAATCAAATTATTCCTATTCACCGTAGTCCAGTCGATATCGATTTCAAACTCACGTAGGCTACGCATTGTCCGGATTCATGTAGGCCTGTGTGAGCCACTTCGTAGGTATTCCATCTGTTTTCCTGCTTGTCGCTTCTCGCTGACTGCTAATGCGCTGGAGAGAAGGCTACTGTACGTTTGTGCAGATGTTGAGTAAACGTAAGAGGGGAGAAAAGGAAATGGTGAGGGAGGAGGTCTAATGAGAAAGCCCCGAGCACTCCCAAAGTAATTCCTTTCTTCCTTTTTTCTCATCTTCTCCTGCCCCATCCATCGATCGATGGCACTGGCTGATATTCCTTCTCGTCTCTGCCAACTCACACACACAGATTCCCCATTCCCTGATATGTAAGGGAATGGGGACACTGAAGAGCTTGCCAGTTTTCCTGGCAATTTCCTGCTCCGAAAGCTCCAGCTAAAAAAACTTGCATGCAATCACCGGAATCCTCAAATTTCCTTTCTCTTGAAAAACACCACGAATTTGATTTAAGTTCCATTTGCTTTCCCCTCCCTCTCCCCACTGCAGGCATATAAGCCCCTGTTTCAGCCTTGCACTAGTGAAGAAGTGAAGCGTGCCTGTCCCAGTGAAGAGGTCCCTGTCTTCACTCTATGTGAACGACTTGGAAACGGTCGCCAAAACCTTTTAGTGCTAAAAGCAGAGAACGACGTGGCGCAATGCTCGAATTAAATTAAGGAAACAAATTTTGGCTTAGAACTCTCCCAAGCATGGGTGGAATATCTGAGAATTGAGTATGGAGACCGAAGCGTTTCGTAGAAAACCCATTTGCCGAAAGCTCCGTTTCGCAGGCAAGTTGCTTCGCCGAATAACCGACTTCAGCCAGGAGAGTCGTTTCGTAGAAAGTCGTTTGCTCGACAGGACCTGTTAGCACCGGCTGAACTGAATGTCTTTTAGCCTTGACGGCTTCTAGACATCACTTGCAAATGCTCGCACGGCAACGGTGCCATTTATGATTTCGGGAATGGAATTAGGAAGTGACTGATCACGCTCCCGACAAAATAGGAAAAGCGAGAAGAACCATCGGAGCGATCTGAAGGAAGCCGCTAAGAGAAGTGCAAAATCCTCTGCTACCATTCCTGAAACGGATACAGACTTGGACAAGTCTGGCAATTCACTTCACTTGACTTTTAAAAGCTATTTTGACAAAGATGAGAAAACGAAGTATTCGTAGTGCTTGGCTATTCTTCTCGAAACGGGCACCGAGGATATCTGTTTTGTTTCCTAATGCTGACTAATATTCTGGATCCAATTTATTTCACTCATTTGTCTTTCCCGCTAAAATAACATGTTTCCTGTCTTCAAGGTTCTCTGCTCTTGCTGCACCTTTAATGATTTCAAGTTCCAGTATGCAGGCACAGCCCTAGAAGGTCGAATTTCGTAATACCAAAGCAAAGGTTAAAAAATACAGAATGCATAAATCTGCAAAGTAATCCTGGAGGGAAGGAGGAATAAAAAAAGCCTAAGAATAGGATAAAGCGGATAAATTCAAACACTTGAAGGCAAAGTCGAACGCAATCACCCTGAGGGCGAGCTGAACAAACGTTTTCTCAGTTGACTCACGCTTAACCCTTTCACTGCGGCGCATTAAAATTGTCGCGCCCTCGCCAGTGCTGAGTTTTTTCGTGGTGCACTGTCGTTCGTTTTAGTACTCGTAAGCGAATAGCGAAATCTTAAATCTATTCTAGTCACCCAAGTTTATTTTTTTTCGAAATTTATATGAAAAATTTTGAGCATAAAGATTCACTGTTCTTCACTTTTTAGAAATACTTCAGCTCGTGGTATTCGCGGGAGTACGGTACAATGCAGAGCACGACCCTGCATTCGACACACAAAGGCCGGCTGAGCAGGCCGCGGTTGCTTGGCTGGAGCTCCAGCCTCTTCAGTGCGCAAACACTATCCGAGTCTGACTCACTGATACTGCCTTCCTCGTAATCTTCATCTTCTCAATCAGAGCTCTCATGTCACAATTCGTCGTCAAAAATGACATTTTCCACTTCTGAAACACCTAGCGTTCTTTTTTTTTCGCCATGGCCTGCCAAGAGAGCGCAGTTCCAGGATGTTTTCTTGGATATAAAATTGTAATTTGGCATCTCCACACCACCTAGCGAAAATAAATCCCACAACCAGCAGCCTAAGGCTGCAACGACAATGCTCTACAGCACCTGGAGCCTGTCGAGAATATTCGACGGCCGCATCGCGTGAACCTAGATACCTGCCGAGTATACTCGACGGGCGCACTGCAGGTCTGTCGGGGCGCCACTGAGTATACTCGACTGCAGCAGCTAAAGGGTTAAAGTGTGTGCTTTCGGTTTGATCTTCAGGTGTTCAGGTTTTGACGATTTTTACGCTAAGAAAGTTTGGTTCAGGGTATGCCTCTGGGAAAAATAATTCTACTGCAACATTAAAGCTAGAAATTATTCAAATAGAATTCGCCGATCCGTCCCAGCAACTCTGATACTATTCCCTCCATGCCATGTATGGAGAAATCATCGATCGGCATCACTGACCTTCATCTTCAAGGGGATCCTATCTCCATGGTAAGCATAAAGAAAGAGGAGGTATCGGAATGGTCCCTGACGTCACTACGATATCTTCTTAATGTTCGTCAATCCGGATAGATGTATCCGGTCCTTCCCCATCCTCATTCGTCATTTCTTGCGCGTCTTCTCTGTATTGGACTTTCTACTTCTCCTTCCATCGACCCCCTGAGGCCAACTTTTTTTTTCGTAACAGATATTTATATTACTCTCGATGCTTTTTCTGGGCCTTCTTTCGTCACATGGATTTCCTTGTTCACTTTGCTTCATTATCCATTTTTTCAGATGTATTTGCTCTCAGTTCTAACGTACTTATATTCAAGTTCGAATATAAGCCATTTTAAGCAGATTAACCCACACTGGACCGACTATAAGCGTTCGCAGGTTAAACATGTGCAGGGTTAAGTATAAAGTTTCTTATCGTGTTCAGACAGTTATAAAATGTAAACTAAGCATTGTGTAGCTGTAACATTTAATGCAAACACTAATGGGACCATGGGATTTGGAATAACATGCTAGATATGCAAAATAGCATAACATGGGCTTTTTTTTTATCTTGATCATCCGATATACAGGGTTGGCCAAAAAAGTAAGCCACTTAAAATTTTTTTTAGATTTTTCGGATTGGATTACATTTTCATTGACATGAAAATGTAATCCAATGTTGCCTAATATATTCTTCAAGAACTCGTGAAAGTTCATGCGTCTACAATAACTCATGCTTGAGTTATAGCAGAGATTGTCAAAATGGGCAAAATTCTGAGTGAACAGGAATGCGATTTTCGAGTTCCTGAGATTTTCCTTTTCTCACAATTGATTTTTGCTTAAAAATTCAGTTCTTGTGGATGGATCATCATGGAAACTTAACAGGACGTTATCATTTGTGTGTTTTTCATCATAAGAAAATGTGCTGCATGGGCATGAAGTTTCAGGCATTTACATGCAAATGTTATGCAATTTTGCTTGTTATGACGTATGTGGAAGGATGGACGATGATATTTATCACGATAAGTCGAAAATAAACTAGCTGGGTTTGTGGAATACTTGATGTCCAGAATTCCAAAAAATGTAGAGGATGATATGAATGATTTAATATTTACAAAAAAAAGGAGAACAAATCGAAAGAAGATGCCACAAAACATACTATAAATGTAAAGAAAGCAAGACTCTAAGGGTGGATTTTTGAACAGAGCATTATCCGATAATGCAGCTTTATTTACCGGATTTATAATGCATTTGCTCTGAAATAAAGCTGCATCATCGGATAGTGCTCTGTTCAAAAATTTTACCGGATTTATAATGCATTTTCTCTGAAATAAAGCTGCATTATCGGATAGTGCTCTGTTCAAAAATCCACCCTAAATGATTTTCACGCAAATAAAATTAGTAAAGACGGTGTCAATTGTATCTGTAAATAATGCATGTTAGTAGAAAGACGTTTAAACTATCAAAATAATAAAACGAAGTTATTAATTATGCCACTCAAAAAATATATGCAATTATTGTCATAAAGAATTGCAGATAAATTACTAGTGTGTTCATAGGAAACGTACATATCATATTGCCGTAGATAAATCCATGCCGATAGTTATTTAAAACATGAAGTAAGCTAAATCTATAGATGTTTGGCATCTTGTGCCTAATGCTATAATGTTTAGCGCGTCCGAAAACAGTTGTGAAAGCAAGTTAAATATTTTTATTAACAAACTAATTAAATAATTGTATTATAAATAATGGAGTTACAGGTCTATTAGAAATAAATGGTATAACTTAGATATGTACTGTATATAATGTGGATGAAATGAAAGTTTTTTAACTTTAGATCAGGATATGCTCAAATCCTTCCTATTACGGACTACTGGCGTTTTCATGCTTTATGGTCCAGTCGATGGCTCATGATCCGCCCCCGCTCCTATTGGCAGAGATCCCAGGTGGTTACTGTGGGTGGCGGCAGTGGTGGTGGTGGTCCTCCCCCTGCAGGTGAATTACCTGGGATCCGGATCTCCAATGTCCAGGTGACCTTCACCAGAGATCCGAACCGTTGGATCCTTCTTCGAAGCTTCACCTTCCTCGCAGCCCTTTGCATCCTCGTCGCTTCCGTTCATCTGGTTTGTCTTCTTGCTTCAGATATCCATAATTTTTCATGATTCGTTTCACACCAGACGCCAGCGGCAGGATTAGTTCAGGGGGAGATGCGTTACCATCCTCCCGCTTTGGCCAATTCTGCCATTATTTTTAAAGTCAAAGTATATTGATGCGAAGTATCAGGTAGTGACGACGGCTCTGCAAGACGCAATGTTTAGACCAACCAGGACCCGCCTTTCTATTGCCTGTCTCCCTACTGCGACGAATGTAAACATTTTTGTGGGTGGGAGAAGCGTGGGAAAACTCGAAAATCGTCTATTCCTTGTCCTTATCCTTTCCTTTGGATGGGGAGATCTCTTGGTCTCCCATCCCTCATTTCAAAGTACGTTGACTTTCATGAAAACATGAAGGAATTACGGTCGTGCTGACGTGACTGTCTCTTCTGCCTTATATCGTTGCTCTTTTCATGCTCCAGCAGTAGTGGATTGATCAGAATGAGTATTCATCTGCCATTCCCATAGTGACCTACGGGAAAATAACCGATGGAGTGGCAGATCTGTTCATAGTCTAGTGCAGCAGTTGTCAGTTCCATCAATTTAATTGAATGAAATGAGAGGTTACAAAAGTGTGACGTTTAGTGTGACATTTCCATATATTCTTCATGACTCATTACATATCCTTGCTCCATGAGAATTTCCTCTCAATTCCTCAAAAGTACGGCTTATTAAATTTTGATTTTGGCATGAAGGAAATTGCCCTTCCTACTTGGGCTGCAATAGAGAATGGAAAATGATATATTTATTATTACTAAGAGTTTCTTGATCAGCTGACTTTTGATACAGGAGTTAAATCTGACAGCAACTATTACTGAATAAGGTGCATGTAAATTCTTGGACAGTTTGATTTTTAATTAAGCAATATTCGCTCAACTGTAACCTCCTAAAGAACTTTGTTTTGGTGATTTGAGAAAGTCTTCAACTGTAAGGTTTTCAGTTGTTATCAGAGACACTAAGGGGATTCATACCAATACCTACAGCATCGTTTCCACCTTCTTGGTTTGGTATACATTGGAGTATCATGCTCTCTAATGAAGATTGAAATGCCTAATTGATACTCTCATGCCCTTGAGACTTCTAAATGATGCAATACATCACTGAAGTTCTTTTCTTCTTTCTTTCCTTTCCTGGTACTATACTGAACCCTAAGGTGACCAGACTCAATTGTTAATAGATCACTTTGCAAGCACTGATAGTAATTTCCATTTTGCCCGTTTTCAAGTACAACTTTCTATGTATATTTCCCCTTATTCCTTAGTTTCCATGCTTCTCAATAATATTCCATGATCAATATCATCAATACTTTATTGGGATGTTTTTAAATGCAATTTTTCTATCATTCAATATGATCGCAAGATCATTTATTTCAAGGACATTGAAGGAATTCTTCAAAGCAAATTACATATAAAATAACAAACATTGAGAAACAAAACATCATTGGCAAATAATAAAGCTGCACTACAGATATTATCCAATTCATGAACTCATATAGTAGCATGATGAAAAGCAGACCGGTATTTTCGGTTTGTCGATATCGATTGACAGGTGATTCTCCCTTGTGTGTCTGGAAAAAGGTTCTGATCCTGAACGTATTCATGAACTACGGGAAGACGACGGAGCGGTTGCCGCTGAGGACGATGAGCATGCTGGACGATGCCAGTGCAAGCCTCGTCCCTCGCCGTCGAGGGACGTTCTTCAAGATCGAGCCTCTCATCAACCGGAATGCATCTCCGCCTGCCTTCAATCGACATGCCGTTCTTCGGGCTCTCCGAGGGAACCTGGTCGCTGGGATCCTTTCCCACCAACTGACGTCTTTGCATACTTCACATCCGGTCGAGAGCTCCCCAACACCCCTTCCGCTCAAGCCATTCTGTCCCGACATTCCTCCTTCCATCAGTAAGACATGGTCATGGAAGCATAGTAGATCTGTTTCAATCCTTTCAGTAAAAGGTTACAGAAAAGTTGTGAAATGTGGCTCTTACCAGTTTAGAATCAGGTTTCCGATTATTGCAACCAAGGAGTCATTCTTAAGGCCCTGATACACGAGGCAAGAACTTGCTAGCAAGTCCTTGCTAGCTAGCCCTTGCCAAGAGACTTGCCTCGTGTATACACCACTTGCTTCGCTCTAGCAATTCCCGGCGAGTGCTTACTTCTGCTTTCTCCTCGGTTCGAAATCCTTTGAAGGCTTGTAAGCAAGTCGCGCTCTGATTGGGAAGACCCTGTAGGAAGCTATTGGGGTGAGGCTCAAGGCCAGGGCCGGATTTAGGGGCAGGAGAACTAGACGACCGCCTGGGACGCTGCGCTTGGGGAGGGGGTGGGGGGACGAATACGCTCCTCGCCTGTGGCGCCATTTGGTCTAGGGCCGGCCGTGCTCACGGCGTCCCCCGCACTTGTAGGAGCAGACTTGGTCTTTGTTTCTAATGAAAATTGTTTGTCCGAAATGCCCCCTGTGCATTCGAAGTTATATCAAGAAAGAGATATTGCTATTATAATAGGGTATATCGTCATGGCTTCCTTACCTGATCCCTGAGGAGCGGTCGTGGTACTCCTACATCATGACATTCCAGAGACAAGGTCGATCACGGAAGCCGGTAATAAGGGCCTCCGTGGCTTCATGGAGAGTTGTGGTGCTATGTCACACAAAATTATGCCTAAATCATGGTCTGTAGGTATACATAGACTAGACCTAGGTAAAGGTCTGTTGGAATTCAAAGACAATGACCCGCGAAAGATCTCTCTGACATAGTAGGTGTGGGTTTTCGCTCTTTTCGACTTCGTTTCACAGATGCTTGACAACTTTCGAGCAAGTGGAAGCAAGTCCTTGCTAGTTTACTTTTTTCTTGTATACCCTCGCTTGCTCCTTGCAAGCAAAGACTTGCTAGCAAGAACTTGCCTCCTGTATCAGGGCCTTTAAAGATAGGTGTTACACCATGTGATCTATCCAGACATGGTCATTCGGTGGTACGCTTTGACAGTCGAATGGTATCTATGACTGGTGGCAAACAATATTAAAGTATTAAAGTAGGAGATTCCTTGCAGCTTGTGCGAGTTTTGTGCAAGCAGGACAAAGGAGTAGCCAGGAGAAAAATAAACCAGACATGAGGTCAAGGATATGGTGGAACGTTAACCTCTACGGATGTCGTCAATAATGTGTGTGCTTACGCAAGATAAAAGCTGGTATTCGAATTGTCGCATTACATGCTTGCTTGCGCTGCTCTTTGGTGTTAGGTGGGAAGAAGCAGGAGAGACGCGAGAGCGCGAACTTGACGTGGGAGGAACTGGAGTTCTCCATGAGACTGAGAGAAGGGTCAGGTGGTGACTGGCACCCGGACGAGTGTCGAGCAAGGCATCGCGTTGCCATCATCATCCCCTATAGAGACAGAAAGAGTCATCTTCTCCAGAACCTTGCCGTGCTCCATCGCCTTCTCCAGGCCCAACTCCTCCACTACACCATCTACGTTGTCGAGCAGGTACAAGTTAAAAATTAAATTACATGAGGGCATGAGCTTTTCCTTAGGACACTGACAATCCTATCTTTCCGGGGCAGCTCTTGCTGTCAAGAGATGTCTTCACCAATAAGGTCACAGTACTGTATATTGCGTTTACCTTCTGCATAAGAGAATACTGTGTTAAGCAATAATAATTTTTATTATTATCGATGTCAGAGAAACTTCGCGATTTGGGTGTTCTGTCCAGTAACGAACTGACAGTGACAGGAACCTCTCATGACCCTCCGCACCATCACTCCCCACATTAACCATCCCACCAAATATACCCTCGTATCTTGTTTCCGGTGCATTAGGAAGGTAAAGGAGTGTTCAATAAAGGAACGTTGATGAATGGGGCTGCCCGATTCGTGTTGAATCGTGGATGGGTGGACTGCTTCATCTTCCATGACGTGGATCTTCTTCCTGTGACGGACAATGTCCCTTATTCCTGCCCGCCTTTTCCTCGTCATCTTTCCGTCAACGTCGACCGACTCACCATAGGGTCTGTCCCCTCATCCATCCGTAGCCTAAAGGGTTTGCCAACTGGGTTTTCTGTAACAGGTGTATATCAAATATAAAGTAAGAACAAAACAAAATAAACATGCAGCTAAAAATTTGAACGAAACATGGGAGTACGTGAAACTGAAGTTCCCATTCGAAAATGGTTCACTGAAATAAGTGAAAAGAGCTATTTGACATTGCAGTAGCAGTGTCAAATAGCTCTTTTCCAGTTAAACTGGAAAATGTATGCAATGCCAGACCTGTTCCTCGGCGGCGAATTAGTCGGCACTCGGTTTCATCCTTCATTGAGGTCTCCCATGTGTTGATGCCATCAATAGATTCCATTTGGGCATGGAGCTTGCGTTGAGGTCGTTTTCCTTGCACTCTCTAGGAGCTTTTAAACGAATACGGCTTCCTTACTCCTGTCAAGTTTTTTGAAAGACTCGCATGTCAATCTGTTTGTCGGCGATAATTTTAAGAAAAGTTCAATGAAGCAGGAGTTCAAAGTACCTTTTGGGCAGATGCTGGACATTGATTGACGAGTAAGAAATGCAATTGATTCATCGAAGAAACACGATTGAGGCAAAAAGGCAAGTTCCTCATTCGCTTCGAATGAGGAACTTGCCTTTGGCCACAGGTACACCTTAAAGAAAACAACATTTCCTTGATAATTCCTTTGTTGCTCTTAATAAGCTGTTTTCTGAGTGCTCCATCCTTACCAAGAGACTCCACGATTGCGTAAATAATCGTAGGACTTCACTCTGCTCCCGGGAACAGTAAAATGAAGACCTACAGTAGAAAGAGAAAATAAAATGTCAGTGTTGGGATGAACTTGTTGCACTTTATGTAAACAATTTTGTAAGAGATATGCATGCCTAAAGGCCATCGCACACTTAGCCGACGACACCAAGATAGGTTTTACCATAAGGGGGGAGGCGGATAGGNGAATACGGAGGGTCGTGGTGATGCATTGAGATGCTGGAGGGTCGGACGTGATTTGCTCGTATGGGGCTCGGCTCCCTTGATGTCCTCATTTTGAAAATAGCGCAGTTGTGATACAGTTAGGCACGCTGAGAATTCCTTGATTGTGAAACGTAGCCTGACATTTCATCGAGTCCCAGAATGGCGACAATAAGTCAATTGTGCCTTCCATTGCAGGTTGAAATGGCATGCAAACCCTCAAGCTCCCTGATAATTTTTGTGATATCATGGCGCGAAGTGCACCAGTTTTTGATATCGAAAGTACATATGTGTCAAGTATTTCATCCCCAAAATAATGGACACACAAGCACCCACGCACTCATTCTTATGCGAATTCGAAGTTCTTGATTAATCAGGTGCAAGAATATCAGATTGAGCAGATCGTTCAGGTTCATGGGTGACTCTTGATAGATTTAGTCTCTTTCAGTGGCGAATGCATAAAATTTTAATGGGGGCGGTTCCCAAGTTCCCCCCCCCCCCCCCCCCCCCCTGTATCCGCCACTGAAGGGAACACGCGTGTACATTTAGGCCCACACGCCGTTACAAGTATAAATGAATCGCAATCACTATGTTTTGAATAGGGTTTTCTTTTATTAATCAGAATATATATTTTAATGTGATGTATTGGATTGCCCTCCTTAACTGGCATTAAACTTAGGATTTCTATTTTTGACAATTCTGTCCCTCTATCTGTGGAATGACTCAAATGCGTGAGGGCATGCTATGTACACGTGTGTTCCCTTGCGTTCGAACGTATGTGGACGCATGCAGACACGCAAGCCGCATGCGTGTCGAAATTGCACGTATCACACGCTAAGTGTACGATGGTCTTTAGAGCAGTGGTTCTCAACCTTTTCCATGTTGCGACCCATCAAGTCCTCTTCCCATCTTTATGCGACCCGCAAATTTAGAAACGTCCAGAAATACTGCAGCCATGTGACTCGAAAAAAAAATTGAATACGGAAAGACGCTCTCTTGGCACTGGTGATATCTTCATTATTCCTTTCTGTTTCCTCCTCAATCTTTCTCTGAAAGAACTCCATTGGTTTATCTTTCAATGTTGAGTGATTTGCTTCGATTTTGAAGGTGTCATGGATGCTTTGGCTAGCCTTAGCATTCTGGTTTCATACTTTCTGACACTGTGGAACTACACTGAAAGTATGAATCATTATACTTTCGGATTAGTACTAGTTCAGGCTTTTTTGCCGACTTCTGTCTCTGACTTAACCAGGGGTGTACAAATAGTACCAGCGCTTGCGCTCTGTATTACCAGGAAACAATTCGTCTGCATATGAATGTTGTACCGTCACCCTTAACCATGGCACCTAGGAACCAGAGGGAATGCCAGAACCGACGAGGACTTCACTGGGGATGAAGGTTAATAGCAAGAATGATTAGAAAGTAATTTTAAAGCTGTTTGCCCTTTCTTGGAATCGTTTGACAGCAAGCCATCTCCCTATGTTGCCTTCTTGTCTGGATTAATAGATTAGGTCGTTCCTGGGAAGTCAAGCTTCAATGATATAGCTCTGTAATTCGGTTTGGCACTTATGCTATTTGGCACAAATCTTTCTTCTCAATATCTCTCTTTTTAATTCATTTCATTCTCTCGCGACCCACTAGTGGGTCGCGACCAACCGGTTGAGAACCACTGCCTTAGAGGCTCCTACTCCGTTCACAATTATGCTCTAGCTGGTACCCATGGTTCTGGACGATAGCTCTGCATCGAACTTTCCATGAAAGCAAGTTCCTCTGAAGCACAATGGGAACCTAATGCTCCCACTTTTCCTTGCACCTTCGCACCAAAGTGCGTAGTGACCTATTTCCCAAGCCTAGCTTCAGCAAACCAAAGGTACAGAGATCCATCGGTGCTACATTTGGGGACTTCACAGAAATGTCCGTGAATGGGATTCCTATAGTTCCGGTGGCTTCTTCCATCTGGCTCAATAAGACTGCAGTTGTTCTGGAAATGTGGATCTATGTCTCAATCCTGGTTCACAGTAACCTTTGGAGTATGGATATGAACCAGAATTTTCTGGTTCATATAGACAGGTGGTTTCCTTTTCAAATATCCGCCTCCAAACTTGCTATCGGATATACAGGATATCGATATCAACATTCTTGGCTCCTCTGCAGATCTGCAACTTTCCATTATAGCAAAAGCCAGCAACAAACCATGAATCCAGGCGAAAAACTTTCCTTGCACTCTAGGAAGTGCTTTTGATATGTTCTTTCACCACGAGGACGATAGTATATAGCTAGACTTTTGCTCATATCACTCAGGTGAATTCATGCTTCGTCAAGGGTGACCACATGTCTTCACCTGTCCCCTGCTGGATGGCGGTCATAGAGATTTATGCAGTCTGTCTTTCTCTCAGCAATACGACGAGGCTGCAGTTCGTGAACACGGGGCTTGTGCTTCTTTGTTCTTCTAGCCTCAGGTGTTTGTTGATAATTTTGTTAATTATCGACAGGGCACACGAAAGGCTCACGTGCGACTTGTTGGCAACACTATTGGCAAGATGTCTCGTGTCGGTGGATTTTCCTTCCGGACAAGTTGACTGACAATGATAATGGTCTCTGAAGTAGATCTGAGTTATGTGGCATTTCTCTCCCTTCTAGTGCTGCTTCTTGGGTGACTCCAACATTTGTATAATTTTTTGGATTCTCTTCTTGGAGACCACATAACTTTTGTTCTTGCACCTGCCTATGATCACATAATGCAAATGACCTTCCTCGGAAAGACTTTAATGTAGCCCTTCCACCAAACATCGATGTTCAGAGGCATCCCACGAGTACGAGCCTTCTCGCTTTCATATTGGAAATTTAAAGTATTGCACAAGCCAACAGGTAATGCAGCAAGAATACCGAAGTCCAGGAAGGCCACCGGAGCCGATTCGGATTCGTTTCCGTAAAATGTAAACAACCCTCCGTATTTGAAATACAAATATTTCAATTCTGAATGGATTTTAACAATTTCAGAGATTTGCGACTGCTTTGACAATGAGTTTGGCATCGGATACGATATTATCTTGGCTATCCCATGGAAGGACATAATATCCAGCAAAATAGTTACTTATGTGATAATTGATGAAATGCCTGAAGCAGTGGCTTTTTGAACTGCTTGAAAATGGATTTGATGCATTGCTGGTTTCAATAAGCTTTTAATATATATATCATTGGCACTAGATATGAAATGGTAATTAGAGTAAGCTAATTTAAAATAGAGATGTACAATGCCCCAATACGAGTAATTGCAGATACTGTTTCTCTGTGAGACAGCCGATCAAATCTCAAGCTTTTGAACGAAATTACGAGAAATTATGGAAATCGCAGAAATGATGGAAATCGTAGAAATTATGGAAAAGAAAGGCGCGACTGGGGTTGGAATGAACCCTGATATTGAGGTTTTTCTTGCGCTGCCCTGAAAATTTGGCCAGTCAGAGGCCTCACCATCCGCCCTGTGGTTTCTTGAACACTACCATAGATACTCTGAAGGCCTTCTTCTTTCGGAATCCAGGAAAAGTGGTTTTCCATCTACAGTATGTGACGATGAAAGATATGGAGAGCCTGGAATGCAGGCAGTAGACGCATCCACTGTATCTCAGCGGGTCGCCCTGCTAACCAGGTTCTTGCTACCCTTCATCTTGCAACAGGACTGGTCCAGTCACAAATCTTTCCATCAGCATCATCACTTTCACCGTTACAGTCATGTTTATTTTCATCCTTGTCCTCTCTCACAACCTCACCCTCATCATTGACCCATCGTGATCAATGCTTTCACTTCCAACCATGATGAATGCAAAGACTCCCAACGATCCTCTTCCTGTCGATCGACAAGATCGACAACTGGAAAAAAGCATCGCTTTCAGCAAATCATTTCCATACGGTCCAGAATATACTAACAATCTATCAAGTGTATCGACAGTTTCATTTCTCTTATTTCAAACCATTGTTCGATGAAGCCATTGGATGATTTTGCAGGTACCCATACTACGAGCTTCTTGGAGGAGTGGTGGCGATTCGGACGGAGCACTTTCTCCTCATCAACGGATATTCCAACCTCTATTGGGGTTGGGGCGGGGAAGATGACGACTTCGGTTGGAGGTAGCTTTTTAGCACCTCACACCGGGTGTCCCAAAGATAAGTTTGCAACTCTACATGTCCACAGACGGAATACCATACGCGGTACGAGCAGAAAATTTACAGGGTGCCAAATACGCGACAACAGTATAGGAGATTTCACGAAAACTTCAATGGAATCAGTCATTTAAAGAGTAAGTAACAGCGTTTTTCCGCGGGATGTCAAATTAGAGATTAAGTCATTGTATCCCTAGATGCCTGCTCCACGCACGAGAGATATGCCCTATCCTTTCAAACGGAACAGGCAAATGCAGACGCATTGTCCATTTGATATCGTTTAAGAAAATGTAGTTTCTCAGGTATTCAAAGACCAATATCATTGAAAATTTCCTGGAATAACCTCCACGTGAATGGGGCCCTCGATGAATATACTCTAAAGTAATTTCCATTAAACATCTTTTATGGTATTCCGTCTGCAGGCATGTAAAGCTGGAAACTTTTTTGGCACACCTTGTCTCTACCTTTCTCGAAGCTTTTATTCTGCAAGTAATTTATTTATCATAATTTGTTCACCACTTGCAATGCAAAATGGACCCGTCCTTGCAAATCTTTTCTGATTCTTCCATCCGTGTCATATCTTGGACAATATTGCGCAATACATCTCTTTTTGAATGACTTCTTGAAGAGAGTCGAAGCATAGACATGAGGATTTCTGCTGCGAGAGACCGAACCATGACGCCATGTGAATTCCCTCATCCATGGGATGAGGGAATTATTGAAGCCTGCATAGTATACTCATAAAGGAATCTGAGAAGCTTCTTTTATGGAATGAACCTCCCTTGCTGAGCCTCCACGTTATCACCAGGGCTTCTTCGTGATTATCATAAAAAAAATATATAATACGTGATCCAACCTCTAATCCAACTCCCTCTTCCATAAAAGGCTCCCCCAGTCCACAGCACAAACAAATCTCTTCTCTCTCCTTTCCCCTCTTCTTGCCCTTTAAGAACACGTTGGAAAAAGTCTCACCTATTGTCTTCTCCTCGACAAAACCCTTCCTCTCCTTCCCCTTCTGTCATTCTGCAAAACGGTAGATTTTACGCTGGTCATTTCATCGTTCTCATCGAATAGCTAAAACTACAATTATGAGAGCATCGACACATCTCCCCCTACTTCAAATTTTTTTTAAATTGAGGATTGCATTTTGAATGATCTCATGGGCCTTGGAAGGAATACCTATAGCTCAAGATGGCAGAGCCTTGGCCTTCTCTCAGTATACCTCAAGGAAAATATCTGCTGACGCTGGACAAGCCCTTACAGCACAGTCGGTAATGCGTGCATGTTTTCTTTTGATACAGGGTGATAGCGTCGAAGTTACCGATACTGAGGGCCCCGGAGCCGACAGGTCGATATCGAATGCTCTTTCACCATCGACGCAAGAGAACGAATCGATACATCATCCATCGATTGATACGGACCAGCAAGCATCGATTCTACTTTGATGGCTATAACACAGATCCTTCCCAACTGCTCTGGTCCAAGTCCATGTCTTTGTTTACCCACCTCATGGTCAAGGTCAATGAGCCCCCGCAAAGTTTCATGGATCTCGAGAGACTTCCAGGCGGGCAGAGAAAATCTTGACCCCTTCGTTTGCTTACCGTCGTGTGCCATTGTGAGCTTTTTGGTGCTATGCAAACTTTCTGCATAAATTATGGGACGTATGTTTTATGTGGTGTGTTCAAGGAGTCGTTTTGTTATTCACTGAGTCTGCATGACCTCGAAGAGGAAAGGCTACTGCTCTATCATCCAAGGACTGAGCAATATTCTCTGCAATGCAGACTATACGACAGATTAACCTCCTCTGGTCCTCCTAATCTTTCTGCATTTGGTGTAACTGAAATATTTAACTGTGTCCCCAGAGCCGGTTTGATGTTTTATTTTGAAGTGCTGGAGAATAAAAGGAAAAAAAAGCCTCTACATAATTCTGCTTACTTAGTCCCCCTTGAATTTTATTTTCTCAGTTCTCTGAAAGTTGTCTGGCACAGTAAATAACTCTTATTTGAAATTACTGACGGCAGTCTCACACAACATGTTTTAGATATTGTTAATTAAGTTGCGAGCATAAAATATGCTTATTGAGACATTGTATGTGAGTTTAGAGGTGAATCTAGAATGATGAGTTGATATCAGACTCCGAAGGAAAGACTTGCCTAATGAAACGCTCTGGTAAACTTTCTCTCATCTCAGCATAGTCATTCTTCTTACAGGTATAGTACAAGGTTGTTCCAAAGAAAATCGCTCAATGTTGTTTAGCAATTACTTTTGAAGAGACCGTCGGATGCAGCTAATGTTTAACAGAGGTGTTGACGAACCATCAAGATTTTGTACCATGCTCGCAAGCTTGCAGTGTATGTGGATAGGGAAGCGCTGTGGAGGCATATGCAAAGATAAACATGGTAGAACGTGTATAAATAGAGAAATACATTTCTACGCAGTGTCACACCACTCAAGACAACATGTCGAAAACTACAGTGCAGCGAGTCACGTTGATTCCGCGTTGTTACGAATATGAAAATTCTTCAACCAGGGCCCTCTGCGATTATTCGCCATCTGATGGCCCTGAAGGATGCCATAAGAAGTGAGATTGCTGCCATCCCAGCGACTGAAATTTGTAAGCGTTCACCGAAATTGTGCATGTTCTTGAAAAATGTTCATGCATTGGAGGTGAACGGCAGATGGATGTCAGGGGGATAGAGAATGGATTTAGAACGAGGAGGATGTCCCACCTGTTGGAAATCCACTTAGGCATTTGTATCATTCATATCTCTTCTCCAACGTTTACCTTTGCATATGCGATCGCAGCGCTCCCTATCTATATGCATCTCAGTCAAATATCAGCTGCATTCAACTGTTCCTTTCAAAGTTATGACCAAACATTGGGCGGTTTCCTTATGATCTCCCTATTCAAAATATGGCAGAAAGACCAACGACTTTTGACCTACATATCCCTGTTCTCACTATAATTATTCTCAAGAAACGGTGTACTGTGCCCAGATTGATATTTTTCTAATAGTTATGGGAAATTTGATCCTAATTAGTTTCAGAAAGCAGGGCTACGAGCATTTGTTCAGGAGAAGTCGGTAATTGAAAGTAGACTGGAGTCCCTTGAGAGTGACAAAACTCCGCTTGTCTCATTATTTGCCGTGAACCAAGGGAAAATCTGCAGAAACTTTGAGTTTACACTCTGTTATAATCCTTATTTATTCATTGGTCATTAATTGAGAAGTTTGTCAAAATCATATGCAAGAGAAGACCAAACGTTTCAACGATTTCAACGGAAGAGAAGTTCGAAGAGGCGTGGGGGATGGGCATCTGAAAAGTTCCTGGACTCTTATATTATCTACCGTTAGTAGAAAGGGTTAACTCATAGAGGATATGAACTAACCCAATTTTAAGGATGAGACTTTTGTTTTGACAGTGTGGTGAATTTTTGCAAGTTTTTCTTTTTTTTTTTTAAAGACAGGACATGTGATGGACATGATACAGGACAACGGACGCAGTTTACATGACACAGAGAGGAAGGGGGTGCCCGCTTGGCACGAGCACCACATCCGTGTCACAGTCCCTTAGGCTGGGACACCCCTCTACGGTCCTGTAGGAGGCCTTAGGGGCAGCTCATGGGTTGCCTACGCCCATGACTGGCACGAGTGGCTTTTAAGGTGTACTGCACCCGCATCTCCTAGACGTGGCACACAAGGTGGCGTGTGTGTTATCCCACGCTAAGCAGATACTCCCCATGAAAGCAGGTGGGTCGCCTGTCAGCGGAGGAAGAGCCCGCTGTCACACGGACGCGATCCCTCGCCTCCCGGGTTTCGCTCGGAAGCCAGAACCACTCGGCCACCGAACCCCGGTCGAATTTTTGCAAGTTTTCTGGTGCATACTTATTTTCTTATAATTTTTATGAATTTTTTTATTCAATGTCATTTTTGTGCCCTGGTGTCTCACGTCAGATAAGTTTTCAGTGATGGAGTTTCTGATGAAGAAATGTGGAAAAGCCTTTTAAAAATTATAAGGTTAAAAAAATGTTTAAGGGGGAGAATTCTTGTCTTGAAGCAGTTTTCGCCTGAGTAGGTAGTTTTTGGAATGAGAGTCTCTCTTTCTGAGAATCATCAAATTGGGAAACTCGTAGCAGCGTCCTTGCCTCGAAATTTTCAACTGATGGAAAACCTTATCTTGGTTGATTGACAGTGAAGCACGTTGCCAGTAGTTGCTACCTCATATGAGAGCAATTCCATTTCATCTTACGCATTGCAGCGTATTGATCATCCAATGATTGGTCATCCAAATAAACACTTCGACCAGTTGGACGATTTAAGGCATAACAGCTGTTGAGGGTCTCTTATATTGCTGGTTCTCAAAAAAGAGAGGTTGTTCTATCTCAAAATGACTTTCAAGTTCAAGAAACTAAACATTTTCCACATAAACGTCTTTCAGGTCTCGAAAACTATTGTTAATAAGCCTAACAATAGTTAGGCTTTTTCGCCCTTCTTCACTAAAGATTTTGAGTCTTCCGTCAGGGAAAAAAGTGACCTTGAATAAGAATGACATGAGACGCACACTTGATTGAGCATGGAATCTCCAGTAAATGCATTCTACCGGTCTAGAGGATGGGAATGGGATCCGCGTCTTTTTGTTCGTCATGAGCCTCTCGTACTCAGCTTCAACCGCATCAGTGTCACTCCTGTCACGCTCAACCCTACTCTCAAGATTTTCATGACAGGACAGAGTTCTACTCCTAAAATGTCGAAGTAGGGTCTTAATAAATATTTTTAAAAGTACATTGGTAACCTCTGGAAGCATGTGAAGCGTTTCAACTCCATACTTTGAATCATATTTTTAATTGCATCCAAAAGTCACTAGTTGGAACAGATTTCTGTGAAATCGCCAAAAAAAAGTATGATATGCCTGGCGAATTATTTTAATCAGAAAGATACTGGAATATTGCACCGAATCTTATGCAGACGTGACAAGTGAAAGCGAGAAAGTGATTCGGAATTTCACTGAGGATTCTCATGACCTCTACGATGAGTTTCGGAAGAGGCGAAGTTCCTGAGAGTACCAAGAGAGGACAGCCACTCCTTAGACTTATTGCTTAGGCTCATAGCTGGTGTGTACTTGTATGTTATCTGTAACTAAAATCCGTAATGAACCACGACTACTATTAAGCAATAAAAGATGCAGTTGTAGGGAATTTTAAAATTACATCTGCTACTTTAGCCTGTTCACGGTTGCTTTATTGCACAATATTGGCGCACACTGCTCTCCAATCGACTCAAAGACCTCCTACATGCAGTAAATAATACCTCAGAACGAGCATCATGACTATAAATTTGGAAATGATGGCGCAAATGGGTTTAGAGAAGCGCACTGTAGAATCACGGCATAAGTCGGGGAGTAACAGTGAAAGGGTTAGGAGTACTTCTTTTCGAGCGCCTTCCGCAGCCGAATGCAAAGAAAAAGAGTTACTCGCATTGAGATGTCGTCTTCTTTTCAGTCGCTTAAGCCATGTTCTCATTACTGGCTTTCGACCCCAACAGATCGACTACGAGAGTAGTATTTGGTGCTCCAGGAATGTGAATGCAGTGGAAAGTAGGGTAAGTTGTAGGGTAAAGAGAGATCGCCGAAACACAGTAGGATGTCCTGGTTGCCCTTTTTTTTGTCTTTTTCCGAGTAGGGCTGCCCGTGAGAACGAACGATTCGTTAAATGAAGATAGGAAGAAGATGGAAGACATCTGACAGCAATGGGAGAGCGAAATGGACGTAGGATCTCTGTCCGTCTGCGAGTTGATGTACGTCTCGGAGAATCGGACTCTCAGCATCTATTCAGAACATTCCCAATGCGAAAAACTTTGGGTGTGAAGAAACCGCCCGCCGGGGGGATGCGCCCTTTCTCTCAAGTTCCTCCGGAACTTGAGAGAAAGGGCGCATCGAGCGCAAACGATGCCAAGCAGGAGTACGGTTTCGTCGCTTAGGACAAGCGAAAGAAAGAGCGGGCTTGAGAGTGAGCAGGGATTATTTCTTTTAAACCAACTCAAGGCGGTGGGGAAAGTGCCCACTACATCTAACAGGGCTCTCTCGCGCGAACGTAGCTCGAGGGAGAGTCAATGTCGTTTTCCCTCGGTCAATCGACCAGGGTCAAAATGTCAGTAATGTAAAGGCAGTAAGCCTTACGCGTAGACCAGACGTAGCTAAGTGCTCTAAATAGGCCAAAGCCCAGTCCAATAGCAAGCCTTCTGGGAGAAAGAGAAGTGAAATTGATGTCTGGCAGGTGGATGGTTAAAGTGGGGAGAAGGAGCGAAGGAGGAACCACCATCCGAACCACTCTCTTCTCTTTCTTTTCTTTCATATAAATTTCTTGCCGGATGGCAAGCTTCCAACACCGAACAGATGTCAACGTTGCTACATTTGTGAGCTCTGGTGCAAATAAAAATTCGCTGAAGCTCGAGGCACTATTGTTCCGGAATGCATCGGTGAGATACAGACACTCCCACATAGACATCTACGCTGTTGCGCGAGAAGTCTCGTATCCTCTTCGAAGAAAACAGGCTCACCAAAAATCGAGCCTCGATCGCTTTTTACTTTTTTTCCTTCTCGAGTACATCCTACGAACTCTTTTTTTGTGACCTATCGCGCAACATCATCGGGCTGAACTGAAAAAGCCTATGGAGGAAATTCGCGTGATCACCAAAAAGGGAAGCAAGGGCGGACCTCTCGAGTGTCCTTCAACGCCCGGAAATGGTGGAGCCAAAAAGAGAAAACATTTCCGCCTCGATAAAATGCCTGAGCCTACAGGAAACGGCTGCCGGGCATTCATACAAGTGCCGCCAAATCTCTTACACACTCTCGCTCGCATTCCCCCTCCTCTCTCTCCTTGCATCACCGAAATAATTCAAGATTTTCGGCCAGAGAACCGGTTTTCTTT